TTTAAAATGTGTTGGGTATTTGGTTGTGCAGTTGCGATAGTATGAAGCCTTGTGTATCATTAACATTTAAGATGGAAACTAAAATGTGCTCTAAAGGGCCAATAGTTTGTTTTGGGGCATTTTGTAAAGCATTTTTACTCACAAGCGAGATATATATTTTCTCATGGACAAAATTGAAAAAATTAGCAAAAAAACATTATTTTAGGCTAGGCTAGGCTTTGGAACAAAAGATAAATGAAAACTATATTCATAGTTGAAGACACATGCAGTAAACAAAATAAATTATGTGCTGATTTTTCACTGAACTTTGACTAGTGTTAGTATGGTATAAAATGTAGATTTGCATCTATTGACTGAACATTGCTCATTTATGTACTACACTTGCTATAATGGAATTTAGAAGAAGAAATTCTTTTTTGATTACACTCGGAACATAAAACATCACTATGAGAGAATTCGGCATATTTATGTTTTAACTTTCCCGAAATACACCATTCTTCTTTATCATTACCACATTATTTACCCCATAAAGTTATTGAAAAATATGGTACTGGTCTTCACTATGAAGACATTTTTTAAGATGCAAACAATTATCTAGTTTAATTCAACTTTTAAATAACATAATGCATGATTTTCCCCCAATTACCTGAAAGTAGATTCCTTCTACCCTTCTGAAGCAGCAGATGTGCCAACTCGCATTATTTTTGTAAATTGTGTTTTTAAAATTGTCATTAGAAAATAATAAAAAAGTATAGCTGAGTCTTCCTCCAATGAAGCCCTTACACATGATGCATGGAAAGCCCTTTGTGAAAAATGATTGAGTTCCACTTTGTTACTAAAGCTGTTTCCTGAAACTTAAATCAATACTACTTACTACCTAACAATATATTTAATCTTATTATGGGACTTAACTCTTAATCCATGATCACTAGGCATGAAATTGCTCCCTTCTCATCCCCCAAATTATACCAACACTAGCTCATTACACCATTATCTATCCCCCATCAATACCTCACTCATGAAGGACTCCATGCATGCAAGAATTACAAGTATCCGCTGATATACATATATTTTGATTATAAAATTTTTTTTTTTAATTTAAATTTCCCCTATATTTCTTTTCCAAAATTTCCAATCATTCACTTTCATTATCACAACAGTATCAGAAAACTCTTTTTTTTTAACCCAAGCTTACTTATACTCTGGGGTGACCAGGGAATCATAATATATCCATCCAGTTCTATCTTGTAGCTTTTCTTACTCAACATTTTCTATGGTTACTAATGGTACTACCCCTCTCTGCACCCCTTGGTAGATTTCACTCACTTTGTATTACCCCTAATTCTTGAAAGGTAATCTCTTTTGTAACACTTAAAGCTATTGTCATTCTCACAGAATTCCTTTTGGGTGGCCTTCTAGATGAATCTAGTCGCACAACTACCAGTCAAAGTCTTTGAGAGATGACGCAGTATTCTACATTTCAGGGAAAACTGTAAATGATGTAATGTGTAGTATGTTTGGAGCCAGAAGGGTGTTAGCTCATATCATTCAACATAGAGTTAACACCCTTTTGGCACCAAACAGAAGATATAGCACATTTTATCAATTGAAAATGGAATGAAACTATTCAACATACCATCAACATAATGGAAAGTTAAGGACTGGAGAAGGCAAAAAATAATATTCTAATACTTCCCTCATATAACTATCAAATTTATAAATTTGTTTGGTTCTGTTTTTGCAAACAAGGAATTTAATGTGCCCCAAATCCATGGTGTTTACATCTTAACTAATGCTTTTATTGTTTTTCAATAAAGCATTATGGCTTTATTTCTTCTTCTATGTTAGCTTTGATGTTTAGAACTCTTGTAATGTACATATATGAAGAAGATTGGATTATACGAGCACATGTCCTTACAAACATTGTAGAGAGGGCATAACCATATATGCATAGGTTTGGTATGACACCCTAGCTAATATTGACTTGTGTGTTATTATGATACTTACGCTGAGGACATCTTCTTTGGTGTCAAGTAAACAGAATATCCCAGCCTAGGTATAGTGGGTCAGTTTATGCAAATAAAAACAAAAATAGGGCATGCAAACATTGTGTATGATAAGATTTATGAAAGGCATTCCTATTGCAACACTAGGGCTAGTGGATGATTTATTAAAGATACTAAGTAGGCCTATAGATTTGTAAAAAAAAAAGAAGAAAATGCTTAAAAGGTAATGGGATGAAAGGTAATGTTTGAGATGGTAAAGGTATGGATTTTATCAAAAATGACTGCTCTGTTTCTAATAAAGATATTCTATTTGTACTGCTACATGTTTATTGGAGTACGATTCTTGTTAAAATGAAAATGATTACAATTTTCTTTAATACAAAAACACCTTTCTTCAGACTTTCAAGATATATTTTGTTCAAATTCCAAAAGAAATCAATTAAGATTCTCCTTTTTTGGGCAACCATGAGAAAATGTAAAAAACACCTTCAATGCAATTGAATCTTTAACATAAAAACTGTTTTTTAACAAAAGTAATTGTTTTATCATGTCAGTGTACATAATTGCACAGGCTAGCCTATTTGATGGCAGTCATTCACTTGACTGAAGTACATTGTATAGGCCAATTCAACTGAGCATCACATTTTTGTTGTAATTGCAAGAAATTCATCAAACACAGATATATGATTTAACAGTGTCATAGAATAGAAGAAAGGTTATGGATGTTCTCTGAGTATCTCTGAAATGTTGAAGCAAACAATAATAGAAGTCCCTCAGTTGTTATGGAGTATAGCATCAAAACAATCCCTCCCACCAGGGGAGTGGAGCATTCCAACTCAAACTGCCAAACCACAATAACACCTACTGTGCTGGCTCTGTGGATGACTCTTCCATTCACAGTAATAGGCATGTAGGAAATCCATGGTTCTACAACACATCACAGGCGTGCTCTCATAAAAGAGACACGCTTCTATGCTTAGTCTACATATTCAGACCTTGATTTCAACCTTGGCAAAAAAAAGAGCTTGTTTGAATCATTTACAGATAGTTCTGTTATATTTTCATTATTGATGAGTTTTTTTTATATCTATTTTCTAAGTGATTTTGATTTATTTCTTTAAATTTCATATATTAGAGAAAACTATTATATTCAGCTAAAAGCTTGTCTCTCAGCAGAAGTACATTTTAAAAATGTTTAAATCTTGAATTTTATTGGAGGAAGAACTCAACTTGAATATAAAAATGTAATCTAAAGTGTTTTGGATTTAAAAAATATTAACCCAAATGAAGTGATAAGTCAATTTAGAGTGAAATTTGCTTGAACACATGGGCCTATATTCCTGATCCTGATCAAATCTGATTTTGAATTGAGGCTTTTCCTCCTTTGAAATTGGGTTCAAGAGAGAAAGTTTGTCTAGTTGTGGGGGGGGGGGGGGGGTAAAATCTATAACAAAAAAGTCTTAGACATGGCTCATGTTTTAGGAGCATTATTTTGTCAACGAAATCGCTGAAAAGCATAAATAAATAATGAATAAATAAATGAATGTATAGATAATGAATACATAAGTGAATAAATAAATATATAAATAAGTGAATGAATAAATAAAACTGGTTCATTTAATAAATAAATGAATTAATGAATAAATATATTGAATAAAGATTAATATATAGTAATGTATTATTATCTAAGTATTGCCAATTTTGGAAAGCGCTTAGAAACATTGTATTAAGCGCTATAGAAATACAATGAGTTATTATTATATATAAATGAATGAATATATTCACATAACTAGTGAATGAATGAATAAATAGATAACGAATCAATGAGTTATAAATAAATAATTTGTTAATGGGGGCTCTATGCCGCTCTTGGAAACACCACTGATAAGTATATATCTTACCCCCTGTTCACACACAACATTTTCTGTGATTAGGCGTGATTAGCTATACCGTTTCGCGATAGTTATACAGTTTCGCGATAGTTATACAATAAAATTGTGTGTGTGGACGCTCACTAACGATACGTCGTATAACAAAACGCAGGTTTGGGCATCGTTTCGAACTAGAACTCAATAAAGAATCACGCTTAATCACGCCTAATCACGGAAGGTGTTGTGTGTGGCCGTAACTAGTGTAACTAGTGTAACTAACTGGGCGGGGCTTAACGTGACCTCGTGCGAAAGGAGACCTGACCTCTCATTTTCGCTTCCATTTCATTTCATTTCATAGAATTTCAGGATTACTTTCTTCTGTGTGTGGACATCCTGGAATTTATACGATGATTCTTTATACGACGTTTCGTTATAGAGTTTCGGGATAAATTGTTTTGTGTGTGGACACGCTGATAGCACTACTTTGGGGTGTGTGGGTGTGATAGGAATCACATATATATGATTAAATGAACTATCAGAGGATCAAACAATTTCAGGAATTGGGACAGTTGACCCTCCCTCCGTTCATGGACAAATCTTTCTGGAAAACTCAGATGGGTTGAAAGAAACATGCATATAGTGAGTTTGAAAAGCATATTTGAAAAGATAATTACATACCCATTCAGGAGATATACCAAACCCTGATCTAGATATGACACCATTGCTGGAAATGTGTGAAAAATATAATAATAACTTTTCCATAAGGGGAAGTCCATTGGTATTATACTATGGTGTTGAGATGATTGTATCATGTTGATCATACTGTAAATACAAGCTTTCAATGACTCTAAATTGATATAAAAGAAAATGAGTATATATGGCTAGAGGTTATTTTGTTACTGTGTGGAGCAAATTTTCTTAGTGATGAGGTTGAAAAAAGAATTATACGGCGACTGCACATTGCAGTTCACAATGTCAACACTAATGAAAATAGAAACTTTAAGGGTCTGAATATGAAGACTGGTTAACTCCATACACACTTGGTCATAACAGTCATGTACAATACCTATTGTGTATGCTCCCTATGTGTAATACACGAGGAAATACCCTGTGTATTGAAGGGCATAGAGCATGCGAAGGAGAGAGCTACTCGCGTGGTATGTGTGTACATAACACTGGCATCTCAGTCGAGCACTGGAGCTCTATCGGGACGTATCGGGCGCTATCTATACCAAGCTAGCTCGCTATCTACCAGAGCTTCTATAGGCCTTCTCAACATCACTTAGTTATTATCTTGTGAGTGATGTTACCTGTTTATTTGGATTTATTCAAATCTGTTTGTGATTTATGTGTTTGATTACTCTGCGGAAAAGAAGATTTAAGATTTGGAATAGATAATCAGTTTTATGCCTGAAATTCTTCCAATCTTTTGATTTCTTTTTTAAATGCAGGTCAGTCAGGTGGTGAAAGTGGACGTCCGCAGACGACGTCTCTGACCGTTTGTTCGCTTGAATCTCGCTGTCTGACCATCTCTTCAGTGCTTTAAACCAAGGGAAAGGATAAAAACAAGAACAGAAGGAAAAGATGAGTTCCATAGCTTGGTGACTTCAAATAACCAGGAATTGATGATCGGTGCATACTGGAAAACAAAGCATTGTTTTAATATTCAAATCATAAATAGCTAATAAGCTTGGAAGGAAGCCCCTCATATGAATAGAGAATCAAAGCTAAATTGATCTGATCAGCTGTCTTTTCTCAAGTGATGGATTTTTCTCTTAACTACTTCTTGTGGAGTGCTTGTGGAATTCAAGAAGAATTGTGATTTTCTTCCATCTTCATCGTTTACGCAACTTTTTGTTTCTCGGCCAGCCAGCCTCATGGACTAATGTAAGGGATTATTATAGTTGAGGAAATCACCATGGAGATTCGAGGAGGATACCAAGTCATGATGATGATATTATGGATAGTAACATCATCGAGTGGAAGTAACACCCAAGGTAGGCTTATAATATTCCTTTTTATCCTCCTCCCTCTAATTTCCCATACCGGAGCTAGCTAGCTACCTAGCAATCTATTTATCCCCCTCCCCTAAGGCAAGTTCCTCTTCCTTTTTCGCTCCACCTACTACAAGCTTTTCCGCATTTAGAGAGATCTTGGCTCGTTTTCGCCTCAAGAACACCGGTGGAAACTGTGCATAAATTTAAATAGATAAGGCTATAGAGGGATTATATCCCCACTATGTAAGCCATATATTGCCAATTAGCTCCAATGTAGCGTATAATAGCGAGTGTCTACAGCTTAGTGTGGCAAGGACACAACTCCATTCATCATGTCAATTATTTTCATAGCAGTATATTCTCTATCAGTGATAGTCATACTCGTAAATGTAGCTCTGTCATTTTGCACTATTCTGCCCACATTTCATGACATTGTAAACTTTGTTCAAGCTTTCTAGACTTTATATCCTCCTTGATTCCATGAAATTGTTGTTTGTGTAGCTGAAATATAGCTGTACTGAAACTTTTATTCCTGTTGTCTTTAACAGTGACTATCTTGCCATTACTTGTATTTAAAATCTTAGAATAATTTTGCTTTGCTTTTTAGCACAACTTAATTTCCTGTAAGATGAAAGAGGAATTTAGGAAAACCAGTCTGGTTTGCATCATACAACATAGAATAGTTATTATATGAATGCTGTTTGACGTCATAATGTACTTTTTAAATGACTTATCTTTCCATGCTAAATAGATTCAGGCAACAGTATAATGCCAACTTAATGACTTCCCTTACATTCAAATAGCAATTTATCTTTTAAAATTGTTTTTGTTGTAAAAGCATCAACCCTGTATCTACTATAGGCTAGAGGCACAACGAATAAAGAAAGATTGAAAACATAAAGGCTGAGTAAGAAAGAAAGAGAGAGAGAGTATTAGAGAGATAGCTACAAAGAAGAATAAAGGTTGGGTTTAAAAAGTTAGTGAATAAGAAGTCAATTTAATGGCTCAACAATTGCCAATTAAGATTGACATAGTCAATGGGATTATAGAGATTAGTAAGGGATTATGTAGTTTACTAAGCCTCTTACAGTAATGCTGGCTTCCATTAAACTCTCTTTAGGAAGACTTTCATTGAACCACATTCTGTTTTTGAGTTTTGACTGGTGAAGATATGTTAACTAATATCTTCTTTTATTTGAATGGTTAGCCTTGCCAAATCTCCTCATTACCTTTTCACCTGCCATAATATGATCTCTTCAAAAGCTTGTATCAGTTACACACGGCACAGGAAGTATACAACCCCTTTATATGTGTCACCAAGTTTGCAAACATTTGGCAAATAAAAAGTTTATTAAAAAAAAGACAATAATAATCTTATTTAATTTTCTCAGTGTTAAATCATGAATAAAATGCTTTGTGTAGGTAAAGCTATACTTCATGATGCATGTACATGAACCTGTTTTTTCTTTTCTTTTTTAGGGAGAATTATGTATTCATTATTACTCCAAACTGAGAGTACAGCATTTGATTTGCCACCCCCAGAACCAAAGGGGTTAAAGGAAACATAAAATTGACTTCTGTTTCAAAGAGAGAAAAAAATGTTTCATGAACTAATTTAGAATTCCCATTATAATCAATACTTGAACGAGCAAACTAAGAAATCTCACTCACAAATGCTCGAAAAAGCAATAGTGTCATGATGGTTTTGATATTACGATAAAAAAACGAAGAAATGTCTTCATCAGAAATTCAGATTCTTGGTCCGCTCGTAAACACGTATGCCCTTTTCCTGCTCCTTCCGAATCTCTGCGATATTATTGATTTTTTTTTTGTGGCAATGTATTCCAAGTATATCGTATGTTTCTGAGATGCGGGCAATGTAAGGTTAACATTGCGTTGGCAGCGGTAGCAGAGAGGGTAAAAAATCTGACTTAAACTGAGCTCTACGTTTCATTGATCGAGATGACATTGATTAGTGCCAAAATTAATTTCTTCTCTCTCCAACTCTCTCCTTCCCTTTCTCTCTCTGTACGAGGCCTACTTGTTGAAGAGCGCTACAATGTGAATATGATTAGTCCATTTTTTAAACTATATGGTGTGCATTGAGATATAGACTGCTAACCACTGAGAGGTGGTAAATGTAAGATTTCTATTTCTCGTCTTTTTTAAACTTCTATTGATTAGGCCTTCTGGATCTAACAATACAGAAGAATAATCTTTAAGTGTAAAAGAAAAAAAAGATATGTTATATATATAAATAAAAAGCCTTTGGTATTTATACTTTGTGTGTTGAGGGCCAGAAGTACAATATATGTTATGTATGTTTTAAAAAGTGCTCCGTAGATGATACCAAAATGCATTGCAAACAAGAAATCTGTTCATTAGTTGAAGAGTAATACATGCATGTAGTCCTTTATGTGCTAAGATAGCTTTAGGACAATGACTCAATCATAGCTTTTTAGTACTTAGATTTCTGTACAAGATTGCAGTACACAAAGAGCCTTTTGCATACTACTGCCTGTTTCATGCATTGAGAAAAAACTTTTCTTCATATGAGTTGCACCTAGGGCTGTGCAGAAATGAATCTTGAATAAAGCAACAAAAATAATCAAGAATTGTAGATTAAAAATGGTAGGTTTCCACATTTTGGAGTCTGCAGTACGATACCATTAATTAAAGTTAGTTGTTCTGAAGTAGGCAGCAGCCCCCCCCCCCCATATCTTTTTTTAATACCGCTTTCACTAGATCCCTTTATGCCCCCCTGTTCCTTTTGAAGTTCCTAGATCTTCTCCGCCAGATAAACATGTGCGCAGATTAAAACAACAGATAGGAACAGACACCCTCTCCCCAAATTCTTGATTTTCTGTCTTTCCAATGCTATGCGTTGCATGTGTTATAATAACACAACATCATTGGCAGCCTGGAACCTCCTATGGGCAAACCAACGAGAGCTGCTAGGATGAGTGAAAGAGAGAGAGAGAGAGAGAGAGAGAGAGAGAGAGAGAGAGAGGGAGGAGAGAGAGAGAGAGAGAGAGAGAGAGAGGGGGGGGGGGGGGGGAGAGAGAGAGAGAGGAGGGGGGGGGGGGGGGAGAGAGAGAGAGAGAGAGAGAGGGAAGGAGTGATAGAGATAGAGAAAGAGAGAGATGGAGATAGAGGGGGGGAGAGAGAGAGAGAGAGAGAGAGGGAAGGAGTGATAGAGATAGAGAGAGAGAGAGAGATGGAGATAGATAGAAAGGGGAAGGAGAGAAAGAGAACAATGAAGACAGCCCGAAAGAGAGGGAAGAGATAGAGAGAGAAAGTGAGAGAGAGAGAGAGAGAGAGAGAGAGAAGGGGGGAGGAGGGAGAGAGAGAGAGAGGGGAGAGAAACGAGAGAAATAATCTGTTTTGTGATGTAAGTTTTATACAATGCAATCCGTGCATATCATCAATTTACCAATGTCACACAAATTGGCGTATAGTGCAGAGTGTAATTTGGTTGTGGATGAATAGAAGAGGGGTGAGATGAAGCAAAAATATAATATAGAAATGGAATATTTAATGAATGACTCACTGAGAGCAGAAATTATTCTGATGTTACATCTGAACTTGGAGGTCGGTGCATTAGGTCATTTTCTCTGCTCTCACATTTTCCCTGGTTATTATTTGTTTAGAGAACAGAATTAAAAGAATATTATGCAAAATATTAACGTTTTATGTTAATAATGGCTTAATTCCTTGAAGTAATCTATGTGTTCTTTTTGTCTGCTAAAACAATGTGTACAATGCATTCTACAATTGCTTAAAATTGTTACAATTAGCGAAAAATATATGAATAGATAAATAAATATCTGCATTTTAAAGCGATCTTTGAATTTTCTTACCAATTTTTTTAAAGGCAGGGCTAAATTTAGTGTGGTGTTAATTTCTATTTTCATTTCTATTTAGGTGGGAAATTAATATTTGAATGCTTGCCATACCTGTGACACAGAAAGACTGCCCTTTCCAAAACAGATGTTTTTCTAACGATTTCCATTGATCAATTCATGAAATATACATGCTTTGCTTGCTACACTCTCAATATTTTACTAAGCTCCAATACATCCATTGAAGGCTGTTTATTTAGTCAGGTGAGTTGAAGCAGTGTGAAAGAAATAAACACAAACTTTGACTTTTAGCTACACTTCTTCGCGTGTGAAATACGTAATTCTCTCTAATTCTCGCAAGGATATTCAATTCCACCCACGGATTTCATGGCTAGTTTTGAGGAATGTCTTTTCTATTTTTAGTCTCTTTGAAACTCAAAACGCCATCTAGCCTTCCAACCCCCTCTCCCTGGAGTGATCTAAATGGGAGAGTATCCAAATGATGCAATCAGCTGGCTAAAGCTAGATATGACTTCTAATTAGCTATTAATGTGACCCTTATCCAACTTAACCTCGTTTATGCTTTCTCTGACCGCTGATCTGAAATTTAGGGGGGAAACTCTGGCCTTGGACTGTGGGTATAGTTTCAGTAGATGTTGCAGGTGAATTGGTGTCTATTATTAATAGACAGACGCTCGTGGTTAAATATTTGATGGCATTTTGGTGACATGGGACCCTCCTATGCATGTTTATATGCCCCCATGTGTGTGTGTGTATGTGTGTGTGTTGGAGAGAGAGAGAGAGAGAGCGAGGGCAGTAATTGCGCTGTATGCGGACAGTATGCGTCAAATGCGATACGTGAAAATGTCGCCAGTGTTTTAGTCTTGTTTTTGCTTTCCAACATTTTCCTGATGATCTCTATACTATACCTGTGCCTGCATATCCAAGTGAAAAGTTTTGATTGAAAATAAGGATACAATACATTAATAGGGTGTCTGATCGCGCACCCGATGTTGTGTGCTAAAATTCTTCCCATAGAGATTACACGCATCCCTATGCAGCCTACGTGCATTGCGCGACCATGCAAAAAAAGTCAATTTTTTTTTTTCAAATCGAGATTCAAACCTTTATCAGTTGTGATCCTGAAGGTGATAATCAATGAATGAGGTGTCATATGAAAGAGCAGGTGAATTCCAATATTTCCAAAGGGGCGTAGCCCCCGAAATTCTAAAAATATCTTGGTCAAAACAGCAATTTAAACATTGTGTCCTGGCTAACTCTGAGGTTTGTCACTTTTGAGATATGACGCCCCGATCGATAAGTAGTCCCAGTCCTAAGGAACAATTCTATGTGATTATATTTTCGCTAGCCCCCAGGGATCACAACTGATAACAGTTTAAAAATACCCTTCTCGCTATTTGGTGGATCAGCTAATTAGGAGGCGTGCGCTCCGCTCAGTCCAAACCATGGTTACATCGCGTAACATCTCCGCGCACGAACGAAACCCCAAATTCATAGTGACTGAAATTATGGTTGGCAATTCCCTCGATAAACCCGGAAGTGAATACACGTTATAGTCAATGGCAATATCGCGGAGACAACGTGCGTTGTCTCCGCGATATTGCCATTGACTATAACGTGCATTCACTTCCGGGTTTATTGTGCGACGAACGCCAACCATACTAGTCAATCGCACATGTCGCGGAGACAGCGTAGCTCAAGCTGCAAGTCGCGGATTGGCTTAGCAGCATGCGTACGATATGCATACGCTTGCATATCGCGCGATACAGCTGTTTGGCTAAATTTAGCAAAACAACATCACTCTGCGTGGACGTCTTTTTCGTCGATTTTGACCAAAATGATATGAATATACCAGCGTGTTGGAGGGGCTGTAACTTTTGATAGAAACATCGGTGAGACTTGAAATTTGAAATGTATTATTCTGATAACATTTTTTATTCAAATATCAAACAAAAATGGTGAAAAACGATCCCAAATTGAAAATTGAAAAATCGTTCAGACACCCTAACATTAACAAATAAACAACAACATGCATAGTGGCATTGATAGGAGTAGCATTCATGTACTTATTTTTTTTTTTTTTGGGGGGGGGATGTACTTGTCAACTACTTACAAGTACAAACAATATCCTTTTAAAAATCATTTAATTTTTATTTTTAACGCTTACATGCTACAACTGTAAATGCTATTGCAAGTCAGTATTTATAAGCTGTAAATCTATGATAATGAGAAAAGATCACAGATATTTAGTCAATCTGGGGGGGGGGGGGGTGTTTCACAAAGATCCTAAGTCAAACTTAACTCTAAGCTTGGACTTAAATATTATGGAGAGCCATTTGTAGCCTTGAAATAAAATATATTCACAAGCAAAAAATAAAGTATTTTAGACTTTTTATAAATTCCACATCAAGTACATGAAATCTCCTTGATAACAGAACATATTAATGATTTGAGTCAACATTTTATGCCTTTTGAAATAACTTTCACAAAATATTTTCAAAGATGCTAAAGGCTTTCCATAATTGTTAAGTCCAACTTAGAGATACATGTAAGTTCAACTTCGTATCTTTGTGAAACAACCCCTCTACTGTAATGAAGGGGGGAAATGAGATCTTTAGCTGATGTGAACTTATCGATGCAAATACTGCTCACTTCCCCCAAAAGAAACTCTCTCTCTCCATTTTCTTTTTACCGGTTTGCAAATTTAATCTTCTTCAAGTCATTTCCTCATAATCTTGTGGAATTTATTTCTCATTTTGCTCCAATTTTTTGAGAGCCGGTAATGATGATTTGTTGGTGAGAACTGCGCTGGGAAATAAGGGGCAAGGATGGATAATTTGTGTCTGGACGTGAATGATTTTGTTCCTTCTCAATTTAAATGCTAATATCCAGACAATCCAAAAGATCTTAGATAGCTTGTCTGAAGTACAATGTAATTCCTTTATCATGATAATTGTTCTTATATTTTCCATAGATTGTGCAGTTAACTTTATGTACATTTGATTATTTACACCTGCATGCATCAATTCATTCAATGTTATTATCACGCTTCTGACTAAATGTATTATTATCACTGTTCAGATTGTTTAATGCAAACATAATTTACTCTGTTCTTTTCACCATGTACAAAATTCTGCAATATGGTCGATTGTCCACAAATTATTTTTTTTCTTCAATAAACCATTACTACTTTCTGATCTAGCTAAATTCTCACAATTTTTTCTTCTTCTTCAAGGAGCTAAAAATAAAGAGCCTTTGGCCTGCATCCATTAAAGCTAAGAGGTTTCTTGTAACTTCCTTTCCTTCTTGTCTCTGTTTCTCTCTCTCAGATGAAGATGTAAAAGTCACAGAAAAAAAGCCATACTATTAATATCACTACATGTAGAATGGCAGGTCTGTTTACTGATGTGTGCTTATTTTAGATGAGTAGATTTTATCTCCTGTTAGAATAATGTTGGAACTCATATACTCCATCTAAATAGCTGATGAGTGAAATTAGTCATCTTTGTGTCATCTTGTGTTTATTACTGACTCTTAGAAATCATCTTAATTA